CCAGTACTTCTTCAAGGCCACCATTGAGCACCCAGAGACTCTTGATTTGGTTTCGTTTTCAGCTCACCACCTGAAGGAAGCTTCGGGAATAGAAACGAATTTTAACTTCATACGGCTTAGAAATGGCACAGCAAGTCCTTCATTTCTAGAACCAGACGAAGAATTTGAGATAGATTGATTGATAACAGCGGAGAAATGGCTGGACGGTAATATCCATTTCGAGTAGGGGACATTGTCTATCGCATGCCCATAGGATTAACGCAGAATGTCGCAGAACGAACGCACCCTTGGTAGTGGCAGAAGTCTCCAATCTGCTCTGTCTCCACGGCTTCGATCTCCGCCAAAAATAGCGGAATCACTCGTGAAAATCACGCCCTTGTAGTGACAAAAGGCACGTGGCACCATGCGCGCAGACCGGGGTTCAAATCCCGGAATCCCAGTAGCCGCCCAAGCCAACCAAGTCTTCTACCCTCTGGGAACGATAAACTGGTACCAAGATTCGTCTGGGAGGATAAAACACTGACTTGTACATCGGCTGGCCCGCAAGTCATTGTATAGGTCCAATCGCATTCAATAAGCCACTACGATCCCGAATGGAAGTAGAATGCGTGGCCCCTCTTCCCTTCCCCCTCCCCAGGGGAGAATTGGTCGATGGCTAGAACTCTTATAAAGTGCTCCCTTCGTTCATTGCACAAACTTCGACAACATTCAGAACCCGGTGACATTGTTCTCTCATGGCTCAAAAAATGGAGCAACCTATTCTAAACAGCAAATATACCATTTTCACTTTGAATTCACCACTTTTCAAAGCAAATTCACCACTTTTCAAACCAAATTCACCACTCTTTTTAGACCGGGCAGTTCACCCACCAGATCACGCCAGACACCACTGCGAACCCTGCCTCGACGGTCACGCCTACTTGTCAGCGCGGACATAGATTTTCAACACATGGCCGACTCCGCCCAGTCTTAAAGGGTTGTTTGCGAACATAACTGTTCTCTTAAAGGGTTTCTTTACTTCAAAGGGTTTTTTCTTTAAAGGGTTTGTTGCGAACATAACATAACTTTCATTTTCATAACTTTTTCAACTTTTTGATTTCACATCCACTCTTTGCACAGCGAAGATACTCGTAACCGCGCATTCATGCTCCGGCAATTCAGGCTCCGCCCCTTGGCCACGCCCACTTGCTTTTTGCGGAATTTTGATATTTTTTCAAAATTTTTGCATTTTGGACTGCTCCACGAAGCCCCGCCCACTGAGAGAGGCTCCGCCCACTTTGAAGAAGCCCCGCCCACTTTTCAAAAATGGTGCAGATCGGCAGTATAGAGCCTTGGCTTGCATGCTAGGGTCTCGTCCGTCACTCGGAACAAATTAATCAGGCAAAGTTTGTTCCGAGTGACGGACGAGGCCCTAGCATGCAAGCCAAGGCTCTATACTGCCGATCTGCACCATTTTTGAAAAGTGGGCGGGGCTTCTTCAAAGTGGGCGGAGCCTCTCTCAGTGGGCGGGGCTTCGTGGAGCAGTCCAAAAATGCAAAAATTTTGAAAAAAATATCAAAATTCCGCAAAAAGCAAGTGGGCGTGGCGCGCTGACAAGGCGTGACCGTCGAGGCAGGGTTCGCAGTGGTGTCTGGCGTGATCTGGTGGGTGAACTGCCCGGTCTAAAAAGAGTGGTGAATTTGGTTTGAAAAGTGGTGAATTTGCTTTGAAAAGTGGTGAATTTGCTTTGAAAAGTGGTGAATTCAAAGTGAAAATGGTATATTTGGCCCGAAGCTCCTAACACTAAGAGCGCTGTTCCGGATGTGCATGCCGCCACAGATTCTCATTCAGGTAGACTCGCGAACTCAAACGCGGGAGGCATTCATCGTGCACAGGGTACAGCATCGTGATGTGTGAAATTGTCGTGTCCCCTCTCCCCCCCCCTCAACTTCCCTGAACACCTACCCACCAGTTTCGCGCATTTCCAAGCTTTTCACCCAGGATTTTCCGTCGACAAGGCACATCATTGGTTGGGGTTTTGGTCGAGTCCGTACGACCCCCCCCCCTAAAATGCGGATCGATACGACCCCTCCAGTTCTGAAGGTTTGTTTTTTCGCCTCTTTATGTGCGTTTTCTTCCAACACCTACGTGGAAGAAAACAAGCTAACATTCCCCCTGGCTTATAGGCACCTCCCAGCACTGAACATCACTCAGCCGAAGAATTTCTGTACTAGTTAATTTCCAAACATTCTGTAGGTACACAAAACAGGATCCCAGCAAAATTGCTCACTCTATTTACAGGAATTCAGTTTAGATGAACTCCGGTGTTCTAATACATGTGTTACTTCAATTAAGATGGAAAACCATAAGGCCCGACTTTAAACAGGTGGAAATTCAAAAATTATAACGATTTTTCACTATTTTCTACCACTGCGTGTTAAGTGAGCGAGTTAGGGATCCTCACCCTCTTCGAAAACTCCTGGTAAAGAGAATCGCTCTGTTGATCTACACCGCACAGGATGCTGTGCTCCAACCTACAGACTGTTGTGTTCAAATTCGCGCGCGCGGGAAGAACTGGCAGCCATGCCATTTGAATAATTGCCATTTGAATGCGCACGCGCTTTGATTGCGTTGGGGCGCGTTTTTTAGACCCCCTTAAGTAAACCAACTTGTCTTTGAAGGGTTATAACTTTCTTTAATGCAGACCGTTAGGAAAGATGAAAACGCAGTCGTGTAAAAAAGATTTGAGCTTCCCGAAAAGTTTTGAAATGCTTAAAGTTGCCAAGTTCAGGGAAAATTCAGCGTTGGGGATGGGTTGGGGATTTTCAAAATTGGATGCAAAAAGACCAAGACTGTCCTGGTTTGAACGAATATAATCTTCTAAAAACTTAATTGTTTGCAAATCTGGACCCAGCGTCGAATACTAGAGGATTCCTTCTTCCCAATAACCACTTCACTTGTTTCTGAAGTTTCGGGATTCATGAGAAAAACGCGTTGGGGATTTTCTGAGGAACACTCCGAGCAGCGCGAAAAACCGTTTTCTGTCCGTTTCAAGTGGGCGTATTCGGATATCCAGAAATGCATCTAAAATGCATCCCTTCGTGGAATAGGAACAAACAGTAGTTAAGCGCCCATTAGCTTCATTTCTGGATGCGCCATGCTTAGGCTCCCACGCAGAGGTAGTGGGATGGTGCAAGTTCTACGCAATGGTCTACGCGAGCAGATGTGTTTGTAGGATTTGGGGAGGTCCATGGCCAGCCTACGCGTTTGCTTAGTCTTGTCCATTGCGGATGATGGGGTGTGTCCGCCTCATCATCCGTCACGGAGAACGGCAACCGCACGCCGTCGGATCCGTGATACACCACTTGCTGAAGTCCGATAAAGGAGACCAACTACTGGAAAACGTCTGATAC